TTTTCCATATATATTATTTATTATTATTTTAGATTCTCCTTCAGCTTCATATATTCTTATTTATACAAGCAGTGTGTTTATGCATGTGTGTGTGTGAATGATGTGGTTCACACAACAAGCTGCAACGTTTGACCCAACTTTTGTGAACCTCTTCTCACAGCGTTGTTCAACAGTAATGCAGTTTTTACAGCTAACTTTTATACTTGTAATACCTGAGTTTAGTGTTGTAAAGTACATGCAAACCTCTTATATATTTAAATATATACAGCTGTAGAAGAAATCATATTTTTTTGACAAACACAGGCAAATTAAAAATGTAAAATTAAAAAAAAAAAAAAACATTTTCAGCACGCAACGTTTCATCCTCCCATCAAGGCTCCTGTGTGTTACCATTCAACCCAGTGCACAAAGACGTCTGAAAGCCAGAGCTTTCATATAATAAGTGGTCTATTTGTTAAAGATGCTCAGACATTCAGAGGCTGTGTACTGCTCTGCGTTATTACCAAAAAATGATCTAACGCTGGGAAAAGAATAGAGGTTGACACATCATTTGTACATTAATCCTGTCTAAGCACTGCATGTTTTCACATGTTTCACAATGTCAAAATGTAGTCCTGAAAATACCAGCGGTCATGGGAACTACTACAAAGGCAGTTTTGAATACTCTGGCAGGCTTTGATTTGTCTGTGGACAGATTTTTGTCAAGTCGCCTTGGAGGTCTTGTGGGTCCATGATTGACAGGCTACAGCTACGGTGAAAAGACTCCAGCACATTAAATGTAGGACAAAGATTAACCTGTTTTTGTGTGGGACTATGCTAGGAGTTCATTTTGACATATCTAACAAACCTATCTAATATGTTTGGCATTTGAATGTAACACTCTCAGTTAATAAACAGTATAAGTAAGTATATATAAGTATAAGTATAAGCAAAAACAGAAGATGAAGGGTTTTTTTTGTTAATTTTTAAAAAAGTTTTACATATTAAAACTGATGTCACTAGACAAGATGTCACAAGCTACTCTGTCTGGTAACATCTTCAGGTTTTAGAAAAGTTCCACAGAGGGCAGTTTTTATGATGTAGTTGATACCAATATTGTGACTACCTTAAATCCCCTCCTTGTTTAACCACATCTGGTGCAGTTTCTATATCGGGCACAATAAATTAAATTGGCCTCCCGAAACATAGTCCTATTGAAACCTGTGTCTCTCATGTGTACCAGATGACTTCCTGTCCTCAGGAGCATGTCGTCAGCTGGTTGGGATTACTGGTAAACCGTAGGAGCTCTCTAATTGGCTGTGATTGATTGAGCTGCTTCAGTCGGATGTCTTTTGGAGGTTTGAGGTTTTGACTCCATAGAAAGCTGCTGCTTGGCAGGAAGTGACTCAAAGCACCCTTCAAGTGCAGGTTTTTACCAACTCCCTTGTGAAGCAACTTTCTTTTGTCATTCTCCTCCTCTCTCCTTGTTTCCTCACAAATATCATGGTGTAATGTCTCTAATACCTGTCTCCCAGCAAGGATTGTTCTCTCATCACCCTCTCATATCCACCTCCTTCCTCCTGGATCTCACCGGCTGAGTCAGGTGAGGCTGACAGGTGTGGCGGCAGCTTCCTTGAAGGTCTGTCAGCACAGCAGACCAGACTGCAGCATGACTGTCTGCAGTCATTAAAGGTGCTGATATCTGGCGCTGACGTCTCAGTGACTGCATCATTTTCTGTAAAAACGTACTCCGTGTGTGTGACGACGTCGTCATGTGTGATTTCTGAGTCATGCGTCTTGTTAGAGGCACGAGCAGCGCTCTATGAAACGTTTTCTGTCTGGGTGTAACGGCCTCTTTCTGGGTCACTGTGTCGCTGTTTGGAGCCACAGTGACAGTTGGTGAGCCAGAGGTTTGTGGTCTGGTTTGAAAAATGCCTGCAGGGACGGTCACTGGTGTGAGATGCTGTCAGCGTGTAACCAGAGGGATATTTTTCCCCTTCTCCGCTCTCATGACACAGCTCACTCTTTGTCAAGGCCGCTGTCACGAGGCGCCAACTGGACTCTGTTACTACCCAAGCGCATGTTTCCGTCTCTGCTTCTTTGACCGTTATTCTGTTTTGTTTGGCAGGCATCCAGGTGTAAGGTGTGTTTTATTAGTCTGGGTTAAGCCCGCTCATTTCTTTCCTGTGCGAGGAAGTGCAGATATGTAAAGGGAGAAAGTGGGTTACAGTCTTTGGCGGCACTGGCCACTGACCAATCAACAGACAGATGGCTGCTGATTGGTCCGTTTAAACCCCATGTACATGTTAGACGTTACTATTTGAAGTTGTTTTTAGAGCAGGTCAAGTCGAAGTGCTCGAGTCTGCTCTTAATGACTTTAATTCCTCCATTTATGTCACATGCTCTGATTCTCTCCACACTGTTTAATCATTTCTCATGAATTTTGTTTTAAGTTTAAGCTGAATTGGAGCCTGCTAGAGAATGCTAGGCACACATTACTGTCTTTGAATTGAGGGTTGAAGCTGTGCTGCTCTATGTCATGAATAAATAAATTAGTTAGCCCTGATACTTGGTGAAAAGAGTACTGGCTGTACCATCACATCCTGACACTTGCTCAGTGCAGAGCCCGGCAGCGTGGTAAGGGATGACTCGAGGGAGAGTGTTTGAGTTAGTGTAACACGGGCGTGTGAAGGAAACACTGGCCAGTGATGAGCGAATGTGATCTCATTTTCCTGCTTCACAATCAGAAACCAGCCATTGTCTCTCCAGGTCATAGTTTCTCTGCGCTGGGCTAGAAACAAACCCAGTGCCTGATTGCTGTATTTCACTGCCTTCTTTTTCTCTTGTGAGTCAGTAGGAATGTGAGGAATGACCTTTGCGAGGACTGACTGTTTCCCACCCAGCTCTCATCTGCCCATTTTTAGTCATGCACAGGTCTAGTTTCTCCTTCGTTTTTCTTTGTCATCCTAACGCTCCATTTCTTTACTCTAACCTATTATCCACCTCCTGCTTTCTCATATCCTTTCTTTCCAGCTGTTTATGAGCACTTTCTCTTCTTACCCATTCTTTTCAGTCAGCTCAGCACATTGAATTTCCACAAATTGCAGCATAAAGAAAGAGCCCCTGTGAGCTGGAGTAGCTTGGGCTGCATATTTTGTGAAACCTCAAAAACCACTGGACCTCTTCATCTCTTGTGAGAAGTGCCTCCTCCTCCTCTTCCTCCCGTGGGCCTAGCAGTGGGGCTACATCAACCCCCTTTTTCAAGCCATCAGCATGTGGGGCTTAGCTTAACAACCACATCCAGCTCCCTTCAGAAGAAGGCAGTTGGCACACACAGGTTTGAGTCACAACACTGCAGGTTTTAACCGGTGCAGCGGGAAACCTTAAAGTGTGTGAGCATGAGATTCATAAGAAAAGCCTGCCAGAGGAGCTGTTCCTCTCTGCGTGTGTTGACAGGTTCCTGCTGTTGTGTTGTTTTTTTTTTTGTTTTAAAAAGAGAGATTTATCTCCCGTTTGACAGGAGAGGGCTCTCTCTACCCTGCACTCACGGCTGTTGCTGACACGAAGGCGCCTGTCTTGTTGAAGTGGTGTTTCTGTCTGCAGGTGTGCTTTTATACACACTTGAACACCTTAATTAGTCCTCTTTGGCTCGAGGAAAAGATGTGCCTTTTAACTAACAGCCACTCAGAGTGATGAAATGGCTCACTCAGTGTTTTAAGTGGGCCATTCAACTTTTCTGGGTCCCGCTGCAGTCTGGCTGCCATTCAGCGAGACTGGGTAAGACACCACAGTAGTGTGTTGACCCGGGGAGACAAACACACTTCTCATCCTTAGTGCTGAGCACTAGCTGTTGCCAGGCCAATTTCTAATCCTGCGCTCTGTCTCGTCACATTAGTGAACTCTGATCACTTGTCATTGCAAATCTCTAAAGCCCCCATCACCCTACTGACCCTATAACTCTTTACTACATGTTCGAAAGTAAGCCAGCAGTGCATGGATGGGAACTTCTACTCTATTTGAACTCTCAAAATGTCTTTTTTCTTGTTGAAAAAAACCCCACACTGAAGTCAGGGTTCTGTATTTTGCCAAAGGACAACTAGAATAACTAGAGGAGCCAGGGATCGAACAAACAACCTTCTGATTAGTAGATAACCCACTCCACTTCCTGAGCCACAGTACACAGTACGCTCTCAGCCCTACCAGGGATACATCCATGACCTTTGTCACCACAAACTATAGTCTGACCAAGCCATGAGATCGGTGGGAAAGCTAATTATACTACTGAGTACACGCACATACTTGGAGCTGGAGTTCAATGATTCCAGATTTGTATTTTTTCAAACAGCTGAAGGTTGCGTGAAAAGCTTATCCTACATGCCAGCCATGCCTGCATGAGCAAATGATAACGATGATAACGGTGTCATCCAAAGTTATCTGCAATGCATGGAAAAAATCTCAAATCTCTCCAACTAATTCTCTAGCTCTTCCAACACACTCCTCAACACCATTTACACCATTTATTATCCTAATCGCAGTCACACCTAATCGCAATTAGGCTCACATAATTAAAAATCGCTGAGTCCCAAACTTTATTGGATACGCTGTCTCTCGTGGGTGTGTGTGTGTGAGAGAGCTGGGATTAATTACAGAGACCAAAAGTAACAACATATTGTAACTATAATGTAATTACCGAATTTAGTACGATAACGTCACATTACTGCATTACTGGTGAAATAAAATGTGATCGCAGTAATGTGTTACTTTTACGTGTTACGCTCAGTGCTGCTCGCCACCTTGTACTTACACTGTCAGCAGGTCTGTGACTCTTTATCTGCAGACTCTCATGTAACTGTGTGGCCATTTCATGAAATGTGAGCAAGCCTCTGCGCTGTATTTACTTGTGAATACGTGCAGATATGCAAACGTAAGACTAAACTTTGCAAGCCAAATGTTTGCCGTTCTGTGCAGCCTCCATCCTTCATGCACTTTATTCTGTTTGTCTTTCATTATGGTGTCTGCAGCTGGATGGAACTGTGGATCTGGATGAGAGGCGCCGCATCCGTTCAGCCCTCCGGGAGCTGAGGAGGAGGGAGATTGAGGACATGGAGGCAGCTCTGGCTAGCAAGAGATTTCGACCCACACGCCTCAATCAGCAGGAGGACAAGGAGAACCAGCACAGGTGAAGCTGCACACACAGCCACACAGATGTCTGTGCTGATGACAGTTTACTAGGCCAGGTGAACTGGAAATGCTGAAAATCTTCAACTCCACTGGGAAAGCTCTGGAAAAGTCAAGTTAGCAAATCACAGGAGAGAGAAAACTGCAACAGTAAAATTTCCCATCCCTAAAATTTCCACCTAGTGTGGCTGTTTTACAATAAATACTTTCACTTTCAAATATGCCACACGGTCATGTGTCACATTAACGTAGATCAGCTATCGCAGTCTGTTTGATTATTTACCTTTCAGAGACTTTCCAGCACCTGTCGTCCAGCTAAGCAGCGTGGATTAATGGGTTACTTATTTGAATCACTTTATGTTGCCACAATCCCATCATCTGTTCTGGAGTAAAGGGAAGAAATGACATTATTGGATAAGAAGCAGACGCACAGAATCAGCCGCCACTCTCCTCCTCCATCGCTGAATCCTAATATAAGAGTGGTGACGGGGCCCTGATTGTTTCCATTCAGTGCTGCTCTCGAATGACTTGTGTTACAATAACACAGGAGGTGCCTCAGTGAAGCTGTTAAAAAAAAGCATGCTTTTGCACATGCATGCACGTATTCATATGCCAGGACACAGAAACCCATCTGAAAGTGGGATAGAAATGTGGTAGGAGGAAAGGCCATTGTCCCGTGCCTCTCAGTGGTGGAATGTGAAGTATTCCACTCCGGCATTGCTGCGCATCTTTTTAATGCCAAAGAGCGGAGAGAAGCGAGGATAATGAGTATGTGAGTAATAGAAACCACCATAAAAGCAAGGAGTGAAATGGAGAATATGAGGCTTAAAAAGTGAAAATAAATGCAGCTTTTTTTTTAGGGGGGTGGGGGGGTGGGGGGTGTCATTGGCTGTCAAATCTGTCATGTCGTAATATCACTTCTTCCATGCTCGATTTGGGAGTGTTCCCTCTGGGTTTTCTCTCTGCCAAGAAAACTGTCCTTTATCTTTCAAATTACCTTCAGCTGCCTGTAATATATGGGCAGAAGCTTCAGATTAGAGTCAGAGGAGCCAAAGTTTTACAGTCTGATATTTTAAACTATTAGGCTTTCCAGTTTGTTTCATGGTGAGTGGGGACTAGTTGAAGATCCATTAAAATGTCTTTGCGTTTCTTTCTCAGGTCAGAATCCAACGAGAACTTGGATGGGCTGAAACAGAAACTGCAATCAATCCGGGACATCGACGAGCTTCAGCAAATGGTGAATATCGTATCGTAATATCAGTAATGCTAACGTCTCACATCACTTTGTAGTTTCACTGAGCTTTTGCATGTGTTTGCTCATAGCTCAACGCAGCCAGCGAGTTCAAGGAGAGGAGAATGATCCGAGCGGCCATTCGGCAAATTCAAGAGGAGCAGCAGCAGGGTTAGTAGGATCCAGTAGCACTTGTCTGACGGAGCGGAATCAGAAACATCTTGTCTTATAGTGACAAATCAAATTAGGGTGTTGTAGTCTTCATGCCATAGTGGCATCTCAACCAGTTTAACCAAGCTATAATTTGCACCAGTGTAATTAGAGAGAAATGCACCAGAGGGCAATATGTCAGAATTTCAAGTCTTCAGATGTTTGCGGTTTGTTGCAAAAGATGTAAATTGGTTTGATGAGGATGCAGAGAGGAAGAAATTCCAGAGATGGACTAATTATTGCTCATCTACAGATGAAAATTATTACATTGTTATGTTATTGTTATATATTTGTTATGAAATAATCCCTGGTTATCTCATACTGGGCCTTGGTGCAACAATAGACAGGGAGAACATGCAAACACATGCACATAGAAAGACCCCGGCCAGATGGTGGATTTGAACCCAGGACCTTCTTGCTGTGAGGCAACGGCACTAACTAGGCTGAAAAACTGCCTAAAATCAAGCCGTTTGCGTAGTCTCATGCATGCGCTTTTGGCTTAGAGTTATCTTGCACATTAACTGATTCCATGTGCTACAGCATCCATCATTGTAGCACATGGACATCAATACTTCAAGAGCCATCCAGGCACCATGTGCACATCCAGAAGAGGGTGCTAGAATTAAAGGTAAAGAAATGAACTTAGCTGTTCATTGTGGAACGTGAAAGTAAAAGTAAGTTGGCCTTATCATTGTCTTGGCCATAAAGTATGTTCACGTGTGAGCGCTCAGTGCCATAGTTACTAGGGCAGATCCACCTACGATGCTGGGTCAGATAGGGGATTCCTGTCATGCCTAAGTGCTGTCTGGCCCATGTGAACATTGAACTGCACGTAGGAGGCTGTATGTGCAGGGTGATACACGCACACAAAAAAGCAACCCATTTTCAATTTAACTTGTGTCCCCCTGTGTTTCCTCTTCTTTTAAAATCACACATGACCAGAATGTTAACATGAGATGAGATTATAAGAAGGTATCTACTTTGCTCTAAATATTCCTGTACTGTAATTCTATTGTGTGCCCATGTTTTTTAGTGGTCGTGGAGAGGGGGAAGACTTCTGGCTTGGAGCCTGAGGGTGTGCAGTCCCAGAGCAGCATGGGAACTGGGGTGAGTACTGCAGAGTTACTGGAGTGGGAAGAGGAACGATTAAATGTCACAGCGCTGTGCTGGTGCAGTCCTGACATCTCACTTATATTTGACGGGTAAACCGTCTGGTGTCAGCTTCCATTTACAAAAATCATCTAAGCATGGGGCCGTTTGCGGGTGTCACGTTCTGTTGCATGGCAGCAGTGACCACCGAGGTTTCTCTGCTGCCGCAGTGAAGAAAACAACAAAAACAACAACAAACAGCGAGACTTGAGTCACTTACCGGAGCGGGAATATAGCTGCACACAAAACAAAAAAACACATGCCTGAGCCGCCACAGAGGGAGGAATGTGTTTGTCACATATTCCTATTCAGGTTCGACCAAACCGAGGAAAATGATAAAATGCGCTTTGACTTTGGTGTGAGGGCGGAAAATTGCTTTTGACAGGGAGAGTCTCCCAGCTGCTGTCATTTCACACACATGTAACTGAAAAGCCTGTCTCATTTTTGAAGAAAAAAAAGTTTTAAAGTATGGATTTCTTAAGATTTCTGTTACATCTGTCGGACAACTACTTTTAGCTGGAGTATTCGGCCTTGTCTCAGAGGTCCCTCACAGCTGGCGCGCCCTCTTGTGGCTGAGCAGCGGAGCCTTACAGGAGGAGACGTTAGATTATCTGCTGTCGGTGATCAGTTTCTTGATAAAAGCTCTGTTTCCAGTGGATAGGATTTCTATAGGGAAAATTCCTTTTGTATGCAGCCACTGCTCTTAAGACTAAGTCCCTGAGTGATGAGACCACCTCCCATATCTGTGCTTTTAAAGAGGGGAAAAATACAATCGCTCACCTTATCAGAGTTCTGGTGTTTCATTTAAAAGCACTTGTTTTTCCCACCACAGAGATGCAAAGGGGGAGAAATGAAAGGCTTTTAGTATCAGTCCCATTGTCTGCTGGAGCCTGTGCTTTGCTTGCATTCCTGTGTGTGTGTGTGTGTGTGTTCTCCTCAGCTAGGAAGTGATGATGGCATGTTGGCGTAACAGGATGCCCTATCACTCAAGCCTATTTTACCTCGCTTCCTTCAAGACAGCTGAACAGTACGTTGGTGAAATTGTGAGGATGGACGAGGAGGGGGAGTGGGAAAATGCGGAGGTCGGGGGTTGAATTCGGAAGGATGGACAGACAGACGGCCCACCAGCTGTGCCCCGGCAGTCTTAAAAGTCTGTACTGAAATGGGGATGTGGGCCAAAAAAAACATCAGCCAGCAGCAGCAGCAGGGCTCCTTCCAGTCACATCACAGCGTCGGATCTCTTTGAGCCTCTTACAATTGTCCCGTTGAAGATGGTGGTCTTAGATAGGCCTGAAAAGCAGCACGCAGGCACAAGCGGCATGCAGTATGTGTATGTGAGCCCGGACTCAAGAAGTTGCCTGTATACAAAATGATGAATGAAGGTGTTTAATTAGTAGGTTAATACGGCTGTTTGTCTGTATTTATGCTAGATTCCGATCCCATTTAGAATTTAATGTTTCTAATGCTCACATGCGCGGGTAGCTGAGGTACACTTAAAGTTTCCTTTTGCCCATTTTCTAGTAACCACGTGGAAACTTTAATTATATGTATGTAGCAGAAAAAAATGTCAGTACACAGAAAGGGTCCTTTTGATTATTGCAACACATAAAGGCACAAAATATTTAAATTGTGTTTTTGTTTTTTTTGAAGAGCACAACTCCCCAAAAAAGAAGTCAAAACAAGAGCAGAGTGTGTCAGAAGTTAATGTGTCAACCAGGCAACCCATTAACCTGTAAAAGTGTCCGTGAGTGTGAGTGTGGTGGGGGTCAGATCTCTCTGGAGACAGAATGGGAGGGAGGGGAAGTCAAGGGAGTGGCTTCTTTGTATTATATGTGTGTGTGTGTGTGTGGTGTTTGTGGTGGTGTAAATGTTTGTGCGTGGGTGTGTATGATGTGGCTGCGGGAGCAGAGCGTCAGAATAGCGGACGTCCTGACTCCAAGAGGGTTGCTGTTGATAGAGAGGGAGAGAGAGAAAGAGGGAGAGGCAGTCAGTCGCGTGAAGAGAAGGTAAATGTCACTCTGATTTTATCGCAGGCTAAACACGCCTCTCATTTTCTTAACCTTTGTTTTTTTTTGTTTTTTTTTTTTCCTTGTCCTGAAAAGGCATGTAAATATCTTTCCTCGTCAGTCTGTGCTCATTTCTTTCTGAGCGGAGAATGGGATGTGCCTGCCTCTGTGTTTACATTTCAGGTATGTGTACTTAATGGTTTATTGCTCACTTAGATCGCTCGGTGCGCATTTTAGCCAACAGGTAGACTAACTACAGCTGGAACCTTTCACGTTTTGCATGAAGATCCATTCAAATAGTCAAAGTGTTGTTTAACAAGTTTAACAGAAACTGTAATATTTAATGCTGGATTTTAAAATGGATTTATTAAACTAAACTTTGAAAGTTTGCAGGTTCGCTTACTATTTGGCGTGTTGGGGGAAGAGTTCAGTCAGGCTGCTTGTTGGGTTGTTGTTTAATCATAAAATTGCTACAATAAGGAACCTTAGTTGTCAAAAACAAGCCCCAGTATGTGCAATAGAGAGGGTTTAGCAGACTTCTTAGAGATGAATTGTGAAAGTGTCCTGTAGGAGGAAAAGTCTAAAAAAGACCAGAAGGAAAGCTTAGACTGGCATGTGCTGATCTGCAGTAAGTAAAAATGGGAATGAGACTCTGGTCTGACGACTTCTGCGGGTTTCCTCACTCCAGACTGAGTGTATATGTGATGCAGAGAGGATTCCTGCTTCATTCTAGATATTGTATTTCATTTGTTGGAGGTTAGCCGAGCGTGTGGTTCCTCAGGCTGCCGTAATGGAAAGTGAGCCGCCAGGTTCCTTCTTCTTTTCTTCTTCTTCTTCCACGTAGCGGCATGGAAGACCCTCAAATGGGTCTGACCTCACCGGTGGAGTGATGGATTTCACTTCCACGGAAAACTGGAAGTTAAACCCCGTCATTTAATCCAACTATGGATTAAAACCCGGCGTGTTAATCCATAGTTGAGCTCATGTGTGTGAGCTGGTTGGTAAAAGAGGTGCTTGTGTCTCATTCTGAGCTCTCATTGTTGTTTTTTTGTGGAGTTCAGGGTTCAGAGGAGTCCAGATGGCCCACGCCTCGCTGCGGTCACGGGAGAGGACAGTTGTTTTTGTGTTTACGAGGTTGAGATTTTGCAATTATAGTCTGACACAAACAGGCGCTTGAGGCCGTATGGGACGATTGGCTGGAGCGACAGGGTGTCGGTGTTGGTTCCCCTCTGTCAGGTCCCAGCCATCAGGGCCAGAGCGAAGCCGCTAATGACAGCATGGCGGCTGGCAGCAGGTCCTGTACTCTGGTCTCGATCTCTATTTCCACTTTATCTTCCCCTTTTTTTTCACTCAGCCTCGCTGTCTGTGAGAAATATGTTCCCTGTGGTTTAGTGGGAGTTTTAAATGACGGCTGTCTGTCTGAGTCCCGGTAGGAGCAGCAGAGGGTGAGGGGGGTGAGCACGTGAGGGAAGGTTTGTTCTCTTTAATTGTGTTTGTTGCTCGAACACAATTATCTCCCCCTGCGACTCTTTGATTGGGTGACTGCACTCAGGATGCGAGCATCCTCTCGCCTCAGTGCACCGTAGTGCCTTCATTACAGGAGACTGTTTGTGCCCTGCAAAACCATCAGATGCTTTAATGACTTATTATAGGAGCATTCTGCTACGTTTCTGTGGCTTGCCGCAGTGTATAGGTGACATTTATTGTTGTCTAGAAAAGCTCAGAAAACCTTTTTTTCGAGCCCCTGAGTCTGTGCTCTGCTTTTAGCTCCATATGGAAACCTGGAAAAAGTGACATCAGGGCACCTGCTACGTAGATTTACACTGTTATAATATCACATTTAGGAGTTCAACTCCCCTTTTGGCTTATTTTAGCAACAAAATGTAATCATGTTTCCCAACCCGAGCTGTGCATTTTCCACATTCAATTTTGCCTGCGTTTCATCACATTTTCTCCTCTGCTATCAAGCCACTATCTCCTGTGATCTGCTCAAGGAGGGGAAGGTCACAGTCAAGAGAGCATAAAGCTGTCGGGTTTCTTTCTTGCCTCTTGCTTGTGTTTGACTTGGAGCAGGCTTTGTGGTTGGTCCTCTGTCTGCACGGATCACACATTGCACTGATTAAATTCCATTTAAAACACCAAAGGTGTGATTTGTAGGATTTTCACTCTGCTTCTGCTGTTAACAACCAGGCCAGCCTTTTGTCTTGAATAACATACTTTACACATGGGGAACTGTTTGCGGTGCGATTGTGCGGTTGGGTGTGTGCACTTTCTTTCCGAGCCTGAGAGATAGTGAATGTGTTTAAGGAGCGTTTGGCAGTAATAGTAGGCTGTAAATCTGCTTTAAGTATTATATTTTCATGTATTGTATGTTTTTTCAGGATCCACCCCAGCATTTGTTGCGCTATTCTTAACCCAGATGCCTCTTTTAAAGTGATTTTTGCGCTGTGATGTCATTCATCATTTCAAATGAGCTGCTGAGTGATGAGCAACACCTGAAGCTCCACACAAGAGATTTTTGCCCTTTAGTAGAAAAGTTTAAGTCTCCAGAAGTTGGAGTTAAGAGTGTGTTTGTTGGTGATTTGAAGACTGTGTGTGTGTGTGTGTGTGCGTGCTCAGAGAAGCCCTATTTGTGCAGCTGATTTTCCCGTGGAGTAGCTCAAGGTCAAGCCCCAGAGGCCCAACAGTAGTGTCGGCATCCACATCTTTCCCTCTCTGTTCTCTCTCTCCTGTTTCTTTTCTTCTTCTACAAAATGCTGCCGCCTCAACCCCGTGACCTCCTGCATTGGAGCTCAGGGTTAAAGTGCTGAGGTAATCTAAAGATGGTCAAATCATGGGCCTAATATAGCAGTAAACCAGGTGGTGAATGCACATGTTTGCTTTTTAGCCACTCAGGGCGCCGCTCTCTCTTTCTCAGCCATACACAATCTAAAGTAAACATCCTTACTTTTCCAGCTGGCCAAGCTGTGTTGCTCATCCATGCTCAACGCCTCGAGCATTTGACCTCGACCTCAAACAAAAGACAGTTGTGATCACCAGCTAACCTCAGACCTACGACAGTAACTGATCTTTCATTCTGGTTTTGATCGGAGGAGTGGCTGCCTGCTGCTCTGAGCAATGGCTGAACACATTGTGCCTTTTGAGAATTTCAGCTCAGTTGGGTGCAGCTTTGCTTTTTGCAGCTGAATTGAAGATCACTAAGCACATGTTATTCTTTTCTTCTTTTTTTTTCACAGGAGACTGAGAAGGAGAGCCGCAGTGAGCGTATTCGATCTCAGATCTGGGAGTTAAGCAGCCAGCAGACACAACAAAACAGAGAGCAACAGAGAATAGGTGAGAATGAATGCGAGTACTCTTCAAAAGAGAGGGAAATTTTCACCGTTTTATGGTTTGTTTTTCATAAGAAAAAAAGAGAAGCTGCACAACCTCACGCTTGCAGGATATTACTTCTGTCACACTTAGGGATCACTGCCATATAGAAGTTTGTATATACTGTAAACATGCCCTGAAAGGTCAAGTTTAGTCAAGCAATATCAACACAAAACTAACACTGGTCACCTCTGTTACACGTATGTGTAAATGCATACGCCTCTCTTGATGCCTTTTCCTCTGGAGCGCCTGTTAAAATAGTTGGCCAAAGGAGCCATTCTCCTCATGAGGTGGTCGTCGGGAGGTCATGTTAGTTCAGCTTCTTTATGCTCCTTCATCTAACTTTATTAAGTGATTGGGGTAACTCACAGCCACGACTAAATCTCTTTGGCTACACGTCCTTTACTTTTTCTTTTTTTAAGTGTAAAGTAATTTCATTAGCCACTCTGTCAGTCCAGCCATCAATAAAGTAATGTCCGTTCATGCCTTTAAGAGGAAACCAGTGTGCTACATTTGCAGCAACACTTACAGAGCTAACACGAGCAGCTTATAAAACGTGTAAAGGGTACTGAAGTCTTGTTGCAAGCCTGTTTGTGTTTTGTCATTTTTACTTTTTTTTTTATCCTAAATACCACGTATAACATCCGCTTTGTATAACTTAAGAACAAATTTAACTTTGGCCATCCGTAGCTGATTTCAGCACACATTTGGCTAACTGGAGCTTGGCCCGAGGCTCATAGTCATAATGTCATTGTGTGTGGCCTGGTCAGCCGTGGGCTTGGCTCTTGGTGTCCTTCACATGGGGTTGGTGATGGGGTTCTGGGAAGCAACAGAGGGAAACCCAACAACCACATCTCTGCTAAATAAAGCTGATACCAGAACAGAACTGAAGCCTCCTTTACGTGGCCGTGAAACTCCCCACTGTTCTGCATTTAGCTGTGCCTTACAATTTAAGCCAGTGTGAAGCTAGGGTCAATAAAAAAAAGACCACCATAGAAATGTAAAGAGGAAAGGGAGCTTTTTTAAAGTGGATCAACAAAGACATGGGACATTTGTGGTTGGTGTAATATAGTGTAGGTAGTGTGGGCATGTGGTTCCTGAAGGTGTGGTCGTCTTAAGCCCTGAGCATAAACGCATAATTCTGCGTTTCACATACAAAAGAAGAAGCTTATATTTACACGCTTACGTCAGTGACCATGTGTCACTATACCGGTAAGGTTATGATTTCAAGAGTTTCTCAGTGCTTTAAGTTCCCAGGGGAGAGCGAGTTCCTTTGAACGTATCTTATGCAGTTTTAAAGCTTTGAGCTGAGCGTTTTGGACATCATGATTGAGGTGATGTGGGATAGGGGTAGTTCAGACTGAGAAAGTGATCCTCATACAGTAACTTATTAATCTAAAGGTTTTGCACAAAAATATGCTGCTTTATTGTCCTTTTAACTCTATTTGGGTCATAATTTGCAAAAAGAGCGTCATTTGCTATTCAATAGTACGTGAAGCTAACAGCTGAGACCACTAACTCCTCAGGATTTTGTGGTCTGTATACAGTACACACACAGTTTCACAGATTCTGTTTGCAAACAGGTGAGTTCCTCGCTGCTGATCATTAGAAAGAATGGACATGCTCAAAGGCACAAGCGCCCAGGTGATTTGTCTAGCTTTTATGTACAGTATCTGATTAGTCCATTCATTTAGTCCAAATATTGCTATAACACATGAAATCTCTTTACACAATCACAAGCTGAGCAACCAAAATTGGCACACAGGTATATCTTATGCCTCCTATATTAGATCTTATTATGTTGCCTGGCAACCACCTGCCAAAGCAACAAAAAAGAAAAAAAAAAGGGAAAAAAAGTAACAAATTATGAAAGCATCATCTCATTTTGCAACAATAACATCTAATTTATAACCACAAAGCTTTAATGATGTGTAATATGACCTCATCACGGTTCCTAGCAACCACCTAATAACACAGACCTCGCAGTACCGTAGCACAAGCATGTACTAGCTCTAAAAACAAGTTGCTTAATCCCACCACAGGTCGGATCATTGAAAGATTACATACGTTTTTGTTTTTTTTTAACCTCTCTGTCAGTGTTGCTCTTCCATTTGGTTGCCACTGAAAAGTTTCAACAGCAACTACATGCACGGACAGACATTCATTGTTCCTGAGGATGAATCATTCAGACTCTAGTAATCCAAACTGTTTCTTTTCTTTTTCCTTTTTTTCACCACAGTGAGGTTAAACTTGTAGATTTTAGTAAAATATCAAATCATATTGTATTATTGTGTATTGTATGAGTTGTCAAATTGAATAAAAAATACTAATAATGAAAGTCCAGAGCTGCTGGCATGGCTCCAAATCTACAGTGGGGTTAATATTGTTTACATCTAATGTAACAACTTCTTTTAAAATACTTAAAAGAAGTTGGCTAACAGGGCTAACCGTTGCCTTCATCACCTTGCTACAGAAGCCTGTGCCCAGCCTGTTACACCAAATTTAAGGTTTGATTAAACCATGGAACTGCTCATGAGCAGCTGAAACGAACTCGTGTTGACCCCTTCACAGCCAGCACAAATACTGGGCAGGCTTCCTCTGGGGTCATTGCTTCACTGTCAAAGCAGTATAAAGAAAGCTCTTGGTTGTCCTTTGTTTGTGCTCCGTATATATACTGGCAGAAGGTTGTAGCGTTTTGTTGCTATTTTGAAATATATAAAAAAAAATGCAAGCCTCTCATTATGCAGTAGCAGTGGGGATTTTCCCAGAAATGGCCACACAATAGATACGACAGCTTCCCAACGGCAACGACGCGAACAATAACGTGAGTTTGCTGGAGAGCAGCTGTGTGTGTGTGTGTGTGTGTGTGTGCGCGTGTGTGCTGGCTCTCACTTTGGTTATTACACTTATTAAAGACCAGTAATTAATTGAGCTTTGGTTGAGTGCATTGCGAGCTATAGACACTACTGTCTAGCGGACCATTATTTTCCTAATTGTGTGTCCCGATCACGTTTTTTATTCAGGCTGTATTACATAAGCATTCGGTCTGTTTAATCAACAGCTTGCTGTCATTTTTAGCTTCTCTCATATCTGAAACAATTCACAAGATTATTTTGGGAAATTGCTTTAAAAGCGATAAACTATTATTAATAAACTTATTGTGCAGAATCTACAAAGCAGTAATGAGCCGATAAAGGTCAGCTATGCTTGGTGAAGCTGTGAATGCTCAGCCGTGATTACGACTGCTCGAAAGTTGAAAGAGACTGTCGGCTGCCTCCGGTCAGACTGGAGTCCCTCTTTGATTTGGTTAGTAAATGACAGACATGCATACTTGGTGAACTCCATTTGGTTGCCAAGCTGGTGCAAACTAAGGTCAGTCAGAAGTGTTTTTAGGTCTTTCTTTGTACATGTGCTGTAGGAAGTGGATACACATCTTAGTTTTCTCTGTTTTTCTTATCTGCGGTGTGTGTGCATAACCTCAGATATTCATATAGCAGCATGGTGGGGTGTTGGAGGTAGATACTTGTCGCAGGGGGGAGGATGCGGGCAGGGCTGTGATGTTTGGAGTGTGGTTTCCTGTTCGTCTCTCTTTTTAACCCACTCTCTCCCTGACTCTTTTTTTTTAATCGCGTCCCAGATATAACTGTGCCACATGATCGCTTTCCACACTCGTGGAAAGCCTTCTTCCTACTTGACGCACATTCACCGGCCCAGTTGCAAATCTCACTCAGGAACTTGAGGCCAGTCTGGAGGAAATGTCTACATCCCTTCATGTCTCCACATGCCTGCCCTGTGATCCTGAGTGTATTTTCTAGCCTGGCCTTTCTGGGGCCCCAGTGTTGTGGAAAGATTTCATTTAAGTCTCCAACGTACCCATCTACTTCTTCCATTGCCCTCTAGTGTACTAGTAATATAAGAAGAATCTAGGTAACATGAAAATGTGTTTTTACAGCAGAGAAAACTTGAATGGTACAGAAAGTTACTTCATATATTTCATTTGTGTTTTTTATAACAGGTTCCAACTCAGGGATGGTGTTGGTTCTGGATCACCTGGTAAAGGATGATGGACCTCTGTTGATCCAGCCTCAGCGAGAAGCTGTGACCAAGGAGGCCGACCTGGTTATGTCTCACTGTCAGAGGTCAGACTCCTCCGATCTTAACGCAGCCTCGATGCTTTCCAAGCCCAATCTGGATCCTGTGGCCTCAGAGAAAGGTCTGGGCTCAGCTTACAGAGCCCGGCTGGACTCTGGAGCCTCAGACAAGAGCCAGAGTTCCTCCCAGCGTGGTCGGCTGAACTCCGGGGCATCAGACAGAAGCATCAACTCCCAGTCCTGTGCCAGACAGAGACTGGGCTCAGATGTCTCGGATTCATGCGTCAGACCCCGTCTGGGCTCCGAGACTTCAGACAGCATTGGCCTGTTGTCAAGGAAGCGGACGGTCTCTGGCACATCTGATCAGAGTGCGAGCATGTCCTCAGAGGAGCGGGCGCCATCGGAGGGGGCGGAGGTAGCCGGGAGTGAATCGACTTACAGCACAGATTCAGAAACTGACAGCAGAAGCCGAGGTTCAGCCGGCACCCAAGCTGAGTCTAACCAGGAGGAGCCTGATGGGGCGGTTTTATCTCGGAGAGATCCCGTAAATGGCCTGCTCAGCGGGAAAACTGACATCCAGAGGCAAAAGGTGGAGTGTGTGTGTGTGTGCGTGTGCACCTGTGTGTGCTTCAGGATTCAGTCATATTCATGAATTAACAACTTAAATTAAGTAATCCATGTTTTTGCACCTTTTTAAGCTACACTGCCTTGTACTCAGGCTGTCCTGGAGTCTTACATGAATGCTTTGTGGTGCATTTGTCAGCTGTCTGTATCTTTGAGCCCGCTGAACCCCGAGCGACACACGCCGTATATTGTGACTGCGCCACTAGAGTGGGGTGCTGAGTTGCATAGCCAAACTGAAGTGCACAAACCGTCCGAGCGCTCCTTTTTTCTTTCCTTCCACGTCATTATTCTTGACACGAAAGCCGACACTTCATTGTTCAGTGACACCCAGGTCACATCGGCATCCATAAACACTCCACTTCGAACTCTCGCTGGATGTTGTTTGACTTTTGTTACTTGGTTACACAAACAAACTGTGCACCTGACTTGTCTCTGTTTCACCTCAGCGGCGCTTCGGCCTCACCTGGTGTCAGAGAGGAGTACACAGCGTTAAAGGCCAAACATTCCCTCTCTCTCTGTTTTTCTGCACTGACTCTGTTAAACTGTTAAAAGCAAGATCTTCACATGGAGCGGGAGGGGGGCTACGGTGACCATGACGCCATCGTGTCGCTTTGCTTAATGTGTTTACTCAAGACTGGCCCCAAACTTTTTTTTATTGCTCCCCGTGCTATACAAGCTGATCCTCAGGCTCCTCGCAGTAATGTAAACACTCTGGGATCCATCGTGGCCACAGTGCCAAAAAAAGAACAGATGCTCACATCTTCACGCCGAGTACAATGTTACATAATGAAAACACCACCAGTCGATTCTGTATTTAGGACTGTGTAGGTCAGGAGTCCCCGTAGCCGCCCATGTAGTCCTCATGAATGTGTATTTTTCGCTCTGCCCGTTGACCTCTGCTCTCCTCTTCTTCCTGTACTAATTGTTCTGTCGTGTTTTTGTTTTTTCCCGTGTTTAGATAACTGTGGGCAGCGACCTGTCCCGCTCTTATGGCAAAGCGAGGGATTCTGGTAAGAGCCCTGCTCTAATGTATAAATAGAAAGCCTGTCAATATCAAGCTAGATCATCTTTTTAAGATACTTATCAAGGAAAAACTTTAAACATTCATCTTTACATTTTCTTGAATATATCTGGAGAAATTCTCATTGAAATTATTGCTAGATCATTTCTGAGAATTATGTAGGGGCTGTTAGGTTGACCATAAAGGAATGGACGGCTGGGAAGGGAGCATTTTGTTAATGCACCATATCTTCAGCGCTCTCTCCTAGATTTCATGTCATCTCATGTCCTACAAGCTGTGCTATAATTTTGTTTTCTTCTTAAGTGTCACATCTTGTTTTATCTTTATTAGGATGACCCCAGTAAATATCATCTACTCTAATCCTTAGATATCCCAAACCATGAGCGTTGTACATATCGCCTCTAAGTGAGAGAAACATTCCCTGAAAAGTCCAAAAATATAGGAACAATGAGAGGGTGAAGCACAAGTTAAGTCAAGTAAAACAAGGGGCTGGAACAAAGGTTAAAAATGAGGAAAGAAAAGAGGAATAGGATTTGTAGAAAGCTTTGGAGGTGAAGGAGGGGATTACAAGAGCAATAAGTTGTAACGGTGCTAAATTCAGCCTGGGCAGTGGAGGAGATCCTGGTTACTTATCTCTCCTGTACTGAGCTGTCTCTTTCTTTGATTTAAACTCCCCTCTTTCATTCTGTCTTCACAGCACCCGAGAAGAAAGCTGTTATATCGGAGCAGTTAAGTCGCACCACCTCTGTTCGTGATCGAATGCGCAAGTTTGCAGAACTTGAACAGAGTTCAAATGTCTCATCTTTAAAGAAGACTCCTTTGAGGAATGGTTCCTTCTCCAGCAGCACTGGCCACGCAAATGTCTCCAGAGCTACCGAGCTGTTTACACACTCAGCAGCATCCCTCAGCACATCTGGAGACAGGCCAGCACGGTCACGTGTGGGCTCTGCATCTGCATCCGTGAGTCAGGCCGTGCCTCAGCCAAGAGGCGTGGCTAACAAGTTTCTGTCTTCAGCTGACCAATCGCAGAGCTCCATGGGTGGGATGGGACATCCAGCTCAAAAAGATGCGCACGCCTCCGATAAGTCAAAGGAAGACGGGACCCCAGGGATAGCAGCTGGAGAAAAGGTCACCCAGGGAGAGGCAGACCCAGACATGAAGACCTTCCTCACCATTGAGATCAAGGATGGGCGCACCACCACTTCCTCCTCATCAACCACCAGTAGAGGCAACATTATACCCATCACCCACATGACCCCACGCATCACTCCTAATGCCCTGGTGGGGCAAAGGCAAGGTAGGAGCATCAACCTGGAGCTCACTACGTCCTTAAATGGTCACCAGGAGCAGCGATGGTTGACATAGTGTAGTGTGGAGATTTTACTCTGAGCTACCGCACACTAGTGTTTTTGTTTGGACTCATTAAGGTTGCCAAGCTGCAGCCCACGTTATTTCTAATGGACTATATGTCTTTTCTTCCAAATGTCAGCATTAATATCAGCCGCTACAAGGAATAATCAGATTGAAGGAATAAGGTCACAAGTGGGATAATGTCAAGAGGGGTTTTGTGCATCTGAAGAAGCACATGGATGAGTGGGGATAGATGTTAGAGCTGAATGTATAAACGGCACGGTCGCACTGAATGGTATTTGTTAGAGCGTGGGCATGTCGGGAGTACGGAGCTGTGGGGTCAACAGAAGAGAACAAACTTGGACAAGAGAAACAGCAACTGGTTGTCTCAGACGAAACTCAATGGGAATATTGTTACAGTGGAAATGAATGAGCCTGCCTGCCCATACAGTACAGGCCTTTGTGTGTCATATTCTGTAGTTATTGTCTGCAACACACTTACTTTTTACAGTCAGTCGTTTGAGTGTGAATTTTAAAATGAGAGAAAAATGCCATCAGAGAGGGAACACATTCACTTTGAATGTGGCTCAACATCTTGATAGTACACTCAGGACAGTACGTCATGATGTAACGGAGACGAATTATCTGCATGATAGAAAAACATGTCTGGCATCAACTCAGCGCTTTACAGAAGCGCGAGCGCTACGGCTGCTGTTACAGTCTGTCCAAACAAAAATTTGTCTAAAGCTTCAGCTCTTCTCAGCGACCGGCATCTAAAACCCAAACAGTTTATTTTAAACTCAGTCTGAACACGTGCGATTCCAGCCCGCTCACCACTTACAGCTCCCTCGTACTCCGAGAGCCGCGCTGCGCTCTGTCACGAGCCTCGCACGGCTCTTTTTCATGTCATGTTCGCTTTAATGTTTTTAGGCTCCTTTTTTGGAATCCTGCCTGTCCTGCTCTGAGTAACAGCAGCCTGTTAATGTGTTTCCAGTTTCCTGCAAAAGCACTGCAAACTCTCTTAAATGTAGACCGAGCTTTGCTGGTTTGCATCAGTCCTGTATTTTATGATATAGCTTTCATGTGTGCGTGTCTGGATGTGGGAGGAAGCGGGTCACATAGAAATGTGCACACCAGGCCAGTGAAGAAAGTGCTTATGTTAAAGGTGGTGCTATCTTCAGTCATTAGACTTATGTGCTGTGTATGACACTGTAGTGGTGTGTGTTTGTTTTCACCCCAGCTTAAGGTCTTATATTTTTTAAATCTTTGTTTCTCTGTCTGTTTCAGAGTTGACCCTCGGCCTAAGAGCCACACCATTTAAGATCTCTTCCTCCAGCTTCTCCTCTGGACCCTCCATCAAGGTACAAACTGCCTTACAAAATGGTTTTGACAAATGGTCACAAAATTGTGGCTACACATAAACCTGACAGATCTTATCAAGCTCGTGTAACAGGCTTGATAAGACCTGCTATTAATTTATAGTTTGAGCTTTTTTTTTCATCTTCTGTTTTATTTCCAGCTGACCCAGTTAAATTGCACGGTTTCTGCTGCGTTTCTGTCACAACAATCACCTATAAGGTCTGAAAAGCTAGAGAGCCGGGGGAGTGAAGGTCACCAAGTGTGAGAAAAGGAGGGAGAGGAGGGAAGAACAGTGTTTATCAAACACAGAGCGGGTAGCCAGTCACATCTGCCCTTGTAGGGTATATGAAAGAGAGAAGGAGAGAGAGAGAGAGAGAGGGAGGGAGGGAGGGAGGTGTTCTGGGTATTCCCGTTTTTCTCTGTAGGTCATGCACGCTGAAAATTATCCAGGAAATGTTTCCTAAATACACCTTCAGTGCTGTGCAAAAGTCTTGAACTACCCCTCATTTACTTTTTGTAATTTTTAGAAAACCTATTTCTTCAGGCTTTCTAGAGATTTTTTTAAGTTTTCCCTGGACATTGGCTACTTTTTCACTAATTATAAGGCCTTGTAAATATTCAAAGGAACTTTTTTTTTGCTTTTTAAGCCAGTTAACGCTGACCTATGAGTTGTTCAAGCATGAAACAACATGTAACGCAAGGGATCAACCTGTGTTGTATCTAGACAACTTAGCAAATAACATTTCTTTATGAAAAATGCCAAAGATAACACAGTTTGACGGATATCAAATTATATTTTTTTTCATCAGCATGATTCCAAAAGCGCTATTAGCTGAAAACTTGGACTATCTCATCCTGGTGTACAGTGCCTCTCTTATCTTATCTCTTAAAAAAACTGAGAAAACTGAACAAGTGGAGGAGAAAACTGGAAGTCTTGGGCCTAAACCCCCCCCCCCCCAAAAAAAAAAAAAAAAAAAACTACAGCACTATCTGAAAGTCATTCCCTTACAAAATTGGAAAGAATCCAGGAAAAACCTGACACGGACCTGAGAGATACATCTGGCCCGTCAGCTGATGAATCTACTGTGTGCCAAAGCTGCACTGCGCCCATTTCCCATTTTCCTAGCAAAACATAAAGACATGAGGTGTGGATCAGGCCATTTGCACAGTGCTGCATGTGCACACACTGCACTGATTGGGTGGATTAGTCTTTCCATAGGATTAGAAAGTTACAGCAGTCAGAAATGACCAAACTATAACCTCTGAGGTCTGGGAGAACAGATAAACTCCCATTTGCCTCATTTCTTAAATCCTTCACTCTACCATGAAAGGAAGCATCCTAGTTAGTGGAGAGTGGGTGATTGAGTGAGGAAAGGCACAACAAACAATGTTCTGTTTACTCTTTAATGGCTTTGTGTCCCCCCTCCCCCCGTGTGTTGAGCGCAGTGGTAATCTGATTATGAGATTTGAGAGTAGGTTAATTAGGGCTGGGAAGAGGGTCCACAAGGCTGTGCCTGTGGACCCTCCTTTCAGCATAACAGCTTTCTTATAAAAGACAGATTTTTGCATGAAGAAGATAAATCTTCTGCAAGATGTGAGGTTTATCCTAGCATGCAGGTAATGTCTTTAAGTGCAGCTGTGCATAGGATTACTTCTAAACAGTTACCAGACAACAACTGTGCTGTCTGTAACTGTTGAGGTTGGTGGATCAAAAATGGGCTCCAGCGACACAGCACAGGTATGACTGCATGCTGGCAGCAGCATGCAGTGGTTTACAACATCCAGACAGCTGCGTCGTAGTTGTATAAGTTTAATGTAAACACCTTCAGTGAGAAAGCGCAGAGCTGCATTAAGGCTGCTGCTGATATTTCAACAGCTTCTGCTCACCATCGAAGACTGAGCCTCAGTCACCACGCTAATGAGACTGTGAAAACAACAGACACTGTTGGTTAAGCTGAGCTCAGAGGTTGGTGGGTTGGTTCAGGCAGATGCAGAGACCACCTGTTGCCTGACTTTCTCTGGTTTAGCTTGTGTGTGTGTGTGTGTGTGTAAGAGAGAGAGAGAAGGTGACATGTCAGGAGGATTGACCTTAAAGAAGCTTACCCACATACCCTTTTCACATTAGTGACTATAAGAGAGTGCACAGGATGGCATGCTTTTAAATAAACTCTTCCTGTTTAGTGATGTTAATTGACCAGAGTGGTTTTGAGATGAAACTCTGATCTGTTTGGGTGGTCTGGCCTTCACTTTGGTGGTCTAACCTGAGCACTTGCAATTTATTTCTATCTCAATAAAAGACGCTGATAGCATCGGCTTTTCTTTTCTAGACGATCACTTTTAAATCAGGAGCCATTTGAGAGACCGGTTCAGATCATATTAACAATGAAAAAGTCCAAATACTGAGTGACTTGTAGTTTTTTATTTCGGCTAAGTGCTCGCAGTGTTTCACTACAATGAGAGTTCATTTTAGGCGGTGCTAATTAATGTTGGCTTCTGCTCTAAGTGATCGCAGCTGCTCCTGCCTGTTTTGTCCGCTGTCTGTCCATGCTGATCGCTGGCCTTGAACACAAGTACAAATGATGCCTTAGCTTTATAACCATGGCGATGACAGGACAGTTGGCCTTTCCAAAAGTGAGAGATTATTTCAAAGCTCTCGGTCACGCTGGTGGTGCTGCTGCATGAACGTGGACGTCTAGGCTCAAAGTCAGTGGCAGATTGTCTCGCTGTCACACAGAGGGATGAAAACTCTATTGTTAGCATGCTGCCGATCCATGACGCATGCTGGGTACACAACCGGTTCATGTGTGTCACAGATTTAAGCTTGGTTCACAGACCGGAGGGTAAAGACTGGGGATTTACTTAATTAATAGAGTAGAGCGATGTCCTCCATGGGTTGGGCTATTGTTCCTGCTGCTGCTAAGCATTTGTATTCACTCTTCGAGCCCACGTCATTCTCATTTGCTTATCTTTAAATTCCAGAGACTGTTGCACTTTGTCAAATTTCTCCCCAGTTCCAGTCCTCATTTTAATCTTTATGTCTGTCATCAATGATCACATATTTATCATGAAATGCTTCTGTTCACACTGTGTTCATAGATGCAGTATGCACAGTACTATTTGATTTCTGTACTGTGGTGCAGCAAAAGTACTTGACATCAGCACTGGCTAATTTGACTTTACCCTTGAACGAAATTTTTGAATTGCTGTCCTTCCTAACATCCTTGCCCAGAGCTCTGAAAACAGGGCTTTACTTCATATCCACAGCATGTCTGGTTTTCTCATGGACCTAAATTCTTTGCCCTCTTCCCAAATCTGGAGCTATATCTTGAATGGTAATCATGCAAAATGGCTGAGCTGATGAATCAGGTTGTATTTTGTTAGAAAGTCTTTAGTAAAGGAGGTGTACAACCAGTGTGCAACTTTTTCACCTCAGCCCAGGCCTAGAGCCACATCTAAATGCCTGCTGCCTGCCAGTGGAGGTGTGAAGGACGTGTTTTAGATAAAAGGAAAGTTGAACTGGGAGGTGTGAGTTTCCTAACTTGTGGTCACTACAATTCCCCCTCTGGCCTCCCCCAGTGCCCCAGATCTAACCAGCTCAGTGGAATAACAGCGGGGCAGGAGATAAAGATACACGCCCAGGGCACCTAGAAATAAGTAGGTGTGGGCTGCCTGGGAAACGGGATTCCCTGCATACTCATTGGTTGCAGGGGGGATTTGCTGGGGGTATAAAGGTCATGCATTGTTTTCTGAGAGGACACTTCTATTCTCACTGAGGCATAGGACACAGCCCTGATCTGACACCTCAGGATAAACTTTTTGGAAACTTGTGTGTATTTCAGCAAAGAGGACATTGACCAGTGTGAGTTAAATTTTGTCTGGCCATGCCTGGAGTGAACCTGGACTTCCTCCCAGCCTCTCAGTCTCCTGAGGCTTTGGGAAGCCCAGACAGTGCTTGTGCTGAGTCTGGCCTCGAAGAAGTTATTGGGGACCTGCTTGCTCAGGATGAAGCTGAGGATGAAGAGGAGCAATTTGGTGCGAAGAAATTTGAGGCAACATTGCGCTGTGCCGTGGGGGAGATCCACAGTGACCTGCAAGCCTTTGGGAAGCGAGTGAATGCCCGGCTGGATGAGGCTGCGGCTGAGGTGGCTCCTCTGGCTGAGACAATTTCCAGGTTGCAGGAGGAGAACCTGAGACTGAGGATTCAGCAGGAAAGGCTGATGAGGCAAGTTGAGGCCCTGTGTCAGGTGATGGGGCTACCTGATCCATCAATGCATGAACTTTACAGCAAAGACTGCTCCAGTTTAATTTCTAATAAAAGCAAAACTTCATCCGGTGGTGCTCCATCCTGCATGCAGGAGACTGGGTCGGAAAAACTCCAGGATGCTTCCAGCTGCACTCCCCAACACTCTCTTTCCAGTGCACCTCAGGAAACCCAAGCACACCGTCTCCTGCATAGTCAGTTAAGTGTACCCCAGGAGCCTCTAACGCCCATCCAGCACTCGGTCTCTGTGTCTCCCAGGACAAACGCACCTTCACCGGCCCCTCACCCGCCAACCTTTGCTACGTGCCGCTCCCTCTCTGCTCCCTCTCTGATGGCAAACATTTCTCTTTGCAACAGCACGGTACTGCTCTGTTAATGATTCTGATCATGATCCCTTTAGTTCAGATAAGCCACTTGAAGAATGGGACTGTCTTTTTGTGCCAGTGTTGCCAATACCTGCGGATCAGCAGACCATTAATTTTATGTGCCGCAGCAGCGATCCCGTGTTCAAACCACATACTCTCTCTGGCCACCTCTTTCAAATCTCTCAGTAAGCTTGACCGTCTCAGCTGACCGTCTCAGCTGCCACAGAGTTCTGACAGATTGTGTTTATGTGAAGGACTCCACCGCAGTCTGTCACAGAGGTATTCCTGTGCTGTAACACCATGCGTCTCTAATTGTGTCCTGGTTCGCATTCATGGATGCCTGCAAGTGTTCTGTTGAGTGGATGCACTTCCCGGCGGAGGGAAGGATGATTACATTTAGCAGCAGCCTTTTAGTTTGCCATCTGCAGATTGTGTGCCGTGCTCACTTTGGCAGGCACATGAAGATAGAATTGAACGTTTGAAGTCTTTCTTCTGCTTTTTTTTCCTTCTCATTTATAAAGTTGCAATCTCGAGTTAGAAAGAAAATGCAGGGAAGGAAAGCAGGTCCCGCAAAGCCACTGTAGGCGTTTTTAACTCATGTGGCACAGCGCGTGGCATGTACATTCATGTTTTTCAGAAAAGAGCCTAGTATCAAGACGTCAGGTTAGAAAAGACTGAAAGGCTCTGATTAGATGTGGTCCTCATCTTGAGGCTTGTTTGCTTTTGCTACTGTGTAACATACCCTCTGTGTGTGCACTTGTAACATTTCCAGGGATATTGTAAATTTGCAGCATGAGATTCGGTTATTGAACCATGCAGAGTCTAATCTTGTGGAGGCAGCTGGGACCGCCAATCAACTACTTTAAGTCAAGGTGACTGGTTTCCATTAAGTGGTAATCCTTCCAGCAGACCGATGTGATAATGAGGGGTGATCTTATCTGATCATGTTTCTGTATGTCTTTGCCCAGTTTCAGCTTGTTTTGGCATTTTTTTCTATTTATACTTTTTCACCTGGAACTGGTCAAAGCAGTCTCCCATCACAGAAAAAAAAACCTATCAAAACAGGCTTTTTTTAAATTCCACAATAACTTGGATGTTTATAGGTACACTTAGGCTTAGTTATACATGACTCGACCACAAAGGTTATCGGGGAGCTTCTCACCCCGTGTGCATTCCCCCTGTGGCCTGACTCAGAGACCTTGTCTGGCTGCATTGCCTCCCAGAACATTCTTCATCGGTCGCGGGCCTCTCAGTCCAGCCTGTCCCATGGGTCAGAACTCTGTGTCCAGAAAAGAGTTGAAAACCAGGGGCCACCTTTGATCACCCAGTTCTGTGGCTGAGCTGGGCATTGTCCCTCCCTGCTGAGACCTGGTTTGGCCGGGGGACTTCAGTGGGCAGGTCTCGGCGGCTGTGGATACAGATGGGACCAGCTGCCTGAGCTATATCTGGACCCAGAGTCGTTTACAGCAAAAGCATTGAGGCCACAGCTAGAACATATAGTCTGCCACAGGCATTCAGCACCATATAAACATGTAAAAGGAATTTTCTATAGGATTCATGGTAACTCTCAATAATGCAACACATTCTCACGTTCCTCAGCTCTGCTCCTCAGCCCTTAGGAGATATTTTTCCTCTGGACTTTTTTATATAGTAATTCGTTGTCCCTATTTTACAGTGAGAGTAAAGTATTGCATCTGTCACATAAACTCTGGGGTTGGCAGCAGTGTTGTATGATTAAGAAAAATCCATGTGTCAGCAGCACTCCATAAACTAGTGAACAGTAACTTGGCAGGGTTTCTTTTAGCCTCGTGTGCTTATTGTCACTCCCTCGCAGATCATCCCGCTGGAGCTGGCCTAGAGACAAGGAAGTTATTACTGGACAGGAAGTGTCGGACGTACTGTCCCTGCGATGTGTTAGAGCAGCCCTCGGCTTGTTCTGATTACATCTTAAATGTCAGCCACTTTCAAATAAGTTTTCTTTTTTACCCTCCTTCATTTTGGTTCTGGCTCTGGTGTCCTTCCAGTAGCTCACTGATTTCCAACTAAGGTCACGGTTTTCTTTGCAGTCTATGATAATAAATGTGCTCCTGTTCACGCTCTGTGTTGTGTTACTGTGTTCGTTTTGCGCGCAGATGGAGACAGGGCCCGTCGTCGCTTCTGAGCCAGTGTTTTCAGCTGTCTCGTCTGTCCAGCGTCACGTCCCAGTCATTCCCAATGGCTCTGGCGCTCAGACCAAACCTGCTGAATTCTCCGGGAAACTAACGGCTGAAAAGCTGGCTGCGATCGAGGATGAAGAGCTCCTCGACAAAATGGTACGTCACTCCGGAGCCATAATTCTCAATGATTTAAGTTATTATTTCGATAAAAGTGGTGTTTTGATTCAGGCATGTGGAAAGTTTGTGCATTGACACTAAACCTTGTCACAGCTCTGCATTGTGTGTGTGCAGATTTGTAGCATAGAAAGTACCGATTGGGCGAATTTGCATAGAACGACCCCTCATGTTTCCATCCCCTCTTTCACAGCTCGATGAGTCAAAAGACTTTGAGGAGAGGAAGCTGATCCGCGCAGCCATGAGAGACCTCCGTAAAAGAAAGAGAGGTAACACCATGCATCTTACTGTTACTCCAAACTGCATGAAGGCTTTCTTTTTAGATATTTAAAAGCAGTCAGGCCTGATGATTTCTAATTTTCATCTACTTTTTTGTTATTGTTTATACCTTATCTTGACACGTAATTGCCTTTAATTCTGCCCTCAGAGGCCATGCTGGGATGTACTCAAGAGGAAATGGGTAGGACAGGTGGTGTGCAGTGTGCAATAACAATTTATACTTGCCTGTGTTTGCCTTTTTGTGTGCACACACCCTGTCATTGTGAGACTGCAACAATCTTAGATGTGGTTTGTGATGGCGGATATTATGACATTTTTTGGTATCGTGCATGCATCCTGTGTTTTGTTTTTGGTTTTTTTAATGTGTTAAACACTCACCCTACAACAGTTAAGATCTGTTTTTCTGCGGGCACTCACCACGTTTCATTAGGCACCTGCTAATGGTGAGCTCAGATTTAGAGTGGATGCGTCAGTGGATTCAGTGGAAATGAGCATGCAAAGGGTCCAAGAGGGCCTCGGTGATCTAGATATTAGACACAATTTAAGTTAGTAAATCATTAATACTGTGCAGTATGTGTAAATGCATGCGTGTTTTCTGAGAAAAACTACAGCCATCAGTGCGGGTATCAGCGTTTTTGACATCGCGGTGTGTATTTGCTCTCTGTGGTCTGTGGTGTTTGCGCAGAACATCTTATTTGACAGCTTTGGCTTGCCTGTTAAGACTTCCACCTGTGGGTGTTTGTGTGCTCAGAAACCCTCACAGTCCCGTGGAAAGAATTCTGAAACATATTGCCTCAAATCTGGAAGGCCTCACTTAATCCAAATTTGTGGCAGTCAGATGAGGTGCTGTCAGCTTTAGGACCTCTTGTCCTCCTTCTCCTCCTCCTCTTTTTCCACTGACATCATCTCTCTACCATTCCCGTCTCCTCTCCTCTCCTCCAGACCAGAGAGAAAAGGAGCGCGAAACCCGCTTGCAGGAGCTCCGGCAGCAGAGAGACGACCGGGTGCAGAAAGGTCGTGCCGGGGTCGGAGCGGGAGAGGTGGTCACGAGCAAGGTGGAGAAGTCGGCAGATGGGTCAGCCGTCGGCCAAATCACCAAAACGAACCGCTTTGCTCAGTCTGGTAGTCTCTAATCTTTCTTGAACCAGCATTTAACTGAAGTCAAACCAAAACAATAAAACCAATCTATAAACATTCAAAACAAAGACATTAGCTTGAAAGTAAAAAGAGTAAAATTGTGTTGCATCAAAACAATGCAAAAAAATTGATTATAAAGACAGAGATGGGAAGAATTTTATAAAGAATGGTTGATTTAAAAAAGTTTTTGTGTGTTTTCAGATGATGGGAGCAAATCAACACGCAGTACTATTGTCGAGTCCAGTTATGTGCAGAAAACAGACAGTGAGTTTTGCTTGCTGGATTTACAAAAACACATTCACTCGAGTGCATTGCATTTTTTTTTTCTTAATCTTCTCATTAATGTGTCCGTGTGATTGTCGTTCTAGGAGGGACAGTCCAGTCAAAATCATTCAGCTTCACCTCTTCCACCTCCACTAACACGAGCAAAAAAATAGGAAGGTTGGTCACGAGGCATTTGTACTGTTAACTACAGCAGATTTAAATATCTGTGCACTCTCTCAAATTAAACTCCTGCGCTCAGTGTGTTCGACCGCGAGGACGACGCGTCGTCGCGAAGCGGCAGCGGCGGGTTGGCCGCCATCGAGCGAAGGCAGGCGGAGAGGCGCAAGGAGCTGATGAGGGCTCAGACGCTGCCGAAGACATCGGCCATGCAGGCCCGCAAAGCCATGATAGAGAAGCTGGAGAAGGAGGGAGGCGGGTAAGAATAAACAGAAAGGTAGTGCTACCAAAGAAAGAAAAGGAGCAGATGGAGGCATGTAAATATTAACACAAAACCGACTTTTCTTTTAGCCCTGGAAATCAGGCGGTGGCCAAGGTAAACATAGTCCAGCGCTCCACCAGCTTTGGCGTACCCAATGCAAACTCCATCAAGCAGATGCTACTCGACTGGTGTCGTGCCAAGACCCGCTCATATGAGGTGAGCCAGCGATCCTCCACGCTAAGTGCTCATTTTTAATCTTGAACCTAAGCTGAGATGATACTTTGGGAAAGTTTCCACTGCTTATCCATCCCCGTCTGCGTATCTCTTTTGTTTCTTTTCCTTCGTCAGCATGTGGATATTCAGAATTTTTCATCCAGCTGGAGTGACGGCATGGCGTTCTGTGCCCTGGTGCACAATTTCTTCCCCGAAGCCTTTGACTACAACTCCCTGAGCCCGAGCAACCGCAGGCAAAACTTTGAGGTGGCCTTTAGCGCTGCAGAGTGAGTACACGCTGAAGACAGGTTCTTCCTAACATTTGCAGTGACTGTAGGAAAACAATGGAAGAACTACTGTGTTAGGCCTATAGGTGTAGAAGTGATGAGCCAGTTTGATTCGCTGCCGGCATTTGCAGACCAGCGGTATGGGAAAACTTCTCGACCGATGTCCTGCTTTCCCCCTTTCTCCCAGGTTTATCAAAACCCCACTCATGACTGAGCCCATTACTACTCTAATACCTCTGCCTCTAAACCTCCACTCTCTCCTCTGCTATGAGTAACCACTCTGACACCCCAATCTCCTCCAAACCAGATCCCCACTGGCAATCCCACTCCAAACAGCAAACAGGTTAAAAAAAAACAAAAACAAAACTTCTAAGCTCGCCTCTGTGCCTTGAGTCATGTCCCTTTATTTTAGTCTAAAACTCTTTCCTCTCCTTGTTCTTTTCATTTTCAAAATCCTCTTTTATGCCACCAGTCTTCACTTTTGGTACCCCCACCCAGCTGTGTGTGCATCTTCACGTGCTCCTACCAGGATAATGTAACGCTGAGATATCTCGAGTAGTGAATCGTACTCAGCGCTGTCCTGTCACTCAGCCACAGCCCCACCCACTCCCCCAGATCTTCTCACCTTTGTGTTGCACCATCACTCACCTACCCGGGCACTCCAAATCCCCGCCAATAGTTTATGTTTACTATCTGGATTCTTGATACGCACTCAAACACACACTATACTGTGCACCAGTGTGGTTGTTTTTGTTAGTCACTCTGTCGTTGTAACTGTGTTTTTTGCAGAATCCACGTTGTTTTTTTCATCGTGTCTCGTATTTCACATTGATTATGGTTAAAAAAACAACAACAACAACAAAAATGTCCTCGTCTCAGTGCACAGAAAAAAACAACAGCAAACAAAAAGGCTAAATGAGCATCGCCTGGCGCTCATTTGACATTTTGTTTCGCCTTTGTGTGTGTGCGTACGTGTTTTTGTCACGCACTGTATGTACTGAGATGTTCATGAAGCATGTCAGCTCATGGATATATTTGTGAACACAGAATGTAATGTGATTGTTTTTTCTTTGTGTTCTTTCTCACTCCTTCTGTTTTTGTTTTTCACTGGCTGCTCACTGCTTTCTGGTTTTTTTTTCCACTCCCACTTCCTCATTTTCCCACACTCTCCATCTCTTTGTCTACTCTCTCCGTCCCGTTCCTTCTGTGTCTTTTTATCTGTCCTTTGCCTGTTGTCTTTCCTGTTCTCTCCACGTTGTTTCTGTCTTTTTGGGTCTTTTTCCTTCCTCTCCCTATTCCCTTCCTCTACCCCCTTCCCCCGCTGGCCGGGGGCGCAGGAAACTAGTGGACTGTCCCCAGCTGCTGGATGTGGACGACATGGTGAAGATGCGTGAGCCAGATTGGAAGTGTGTGTACACGTACCTGCAGGAGTTCTACAGGGGTCTGGTGACGAAGGGCCTGGTTAAAACCAAAAATTCCTCCTAGAGTTGCACCGCAGCTAAAACTGAGCCTATGGTGAGAGAGGGGACGAGCTTGTGAGGGAACCGCACACACTCTGTGGTTCCCGACAGACTTAAAATGTAAAACATGGAAAAACTCCTTTATTGGCTTCTTTTGGATATTTGATGCTTCATGTTAATCTGAAGCTCCAAAGTACCAAACATGGTGTGTGTGTGATATCATGTGTGTATCTGTATTCTGAGACTATGGCTCAGGCAGAGGGCCAGGACCATCTGCAGATCAGTGCTTTAAAAGGAACTGCCGGATCACAACGTTTCAAACAGAGTTAAGAAAAAAAACAGAGAAGGATGAAGCCTGCTTTGTGCACCGAGTTTTTATCAAGTGTAAGGTTACAGGTGTTTATGCACTTGGCTTGTCAAGCCTTGTAAAGATACTCTAATAGAAATAAAGTGCAGAATGATTTATGTCCACAGTTCCTGAAATTACTGAAAAAATGTTATGTTGTTGACGTTTATTATCTCATCGGCCCATCTGCTGTTTTTATGTGCTTTTTCTCTTTGTGGGACTTCTCAGGGGGGTTAGAGTGAGGAGATGTTGCCACCTTGTGGTTACACTCTGCATAGCTCACACTGGAGGTCTCAGTTCTTAAAACTGTTTATTGAAATGCCCAACATTACCCAAGTTTATTTATACAGAGCTTTTAAAGGGTCCATAATGGTTTAGAGCAAATGTGCCAAAGACTCTAGCACACTAAACAGCTTTGGAAAATGTGAAGAGCAGCAACGTTTTTGCAGCTTTTCCTACTGTTAAAGACCTCCTCCGTGGCCATTTATACTATATTCATAGATAAAGAATCATCTATTTGAAAAAGAAAAAAAAAAACTTGTAGTGAACATGATGATTTCTCCTTCCCAGCTGGTCTTCTGTCTGTTCTGCTTTCTCATGCACGCTGTCCTGTACGCCTGTTCCTCAGGACCCACGCCAACTGCATGCCTTTGCTGGAGGTGGAAGACATGATGATCATGGGTAACAAACCAGACTCCAAATGCGTCTTCACCTACGTGCAGTCTCTGGTCAACCACCTGCGCAGATATGAGATGTCCATGGGTCGGCCCTGTGACCTCTGACCTGTTTTCGGGCTCTCTCTCTCCCTCTCCCCCCCCCCCTTAACCTTCACCTGATGATGGCCTCCACTCTGACAACAGGCTGGGTCAAACAGTTGCACATCTCTGATGGTCGGCTTGGGGATTGTAAGCGTGTGTGCGTGTGTATGTATCAGTTAAAATCAGCTTAAAATGTCTTCCGGCAGTGATAATGTGTGTTGCTTATTCTGGACACACACACACTGTCGACACATAAGTCTACCGTTCTCCAGTAAGAGATTAGCAGCAGCATGATTCTTAAAAAGACCCCTTTGTTTTAAAAAACTCAGAGTAATATTCAACAGGCAGTAGTTTGATCACATTGCTGTTGTACTGAGAAACGGCTCAAGAGGGAAAAAAGAAAAATTGTTTTCTAGTATTTGCAGTTTTTAAAGTATTTGTACATGCGTTTTTCTCTGCTACACTTTTGTAAGTACTGTAATGTGTTTGCACTTCTCTCAGTAATCTCACTGAAAAATAAAAAACTTATTATTTCTATTCAATTTTGGTACTTTTACTTTTCTTTTTTTAACCAAACTCATGTTGCTTGAAGTGTTTTAATTAAGTTATTTTCATTTTGATGTAATTGATGAGTATAAGGATTCTTATTACATGAGCACAGGGATTTTCTGCCTTTGTTATTCAAGTGGATTCAACATCGTTGCTGTAATCTCACTTTTCTGAAGTCCAAACAGCTACTGAGGACATTTACTGGACATTTGATCCATCCTGTATGACCACACCACCACCATCATCATCATCACCATCATATAAGTATGGACGAAAGGTGCTAGCTGTTAAACCGAGGTTTGGATTTTTTTGTATTTCGGTACAAAGAAGTCATTCAGCTGATTTGTGTCATTACTGGCTGTTTGGTGGACAGCACACACACACCTCCCACCACCGCTGCATAGCCCTGCCACACACATTCTCACACACATTCTCACACAGCTTTGTTTGAGGGCTCCTTATTTATGCTTGAGTAGTTTTTAATACGGTTAATGCTGGTGTGTACATCGTGCTTTTAAAAGGTTTTGTCGATAAGCTTAAGATGCCACAATGTTATATTTTCTTGTGTGAAAGCCGGCTTTCAGTACAAACATGAGGATTCATGACTGATAACCAGCCAACTGTATATTTAACTAAATGTAGCTAAGAGGAAACGGGACAAAAAATTTTTTTAAATGAATATTTTATTTCACTTGTAAAAAATTTGGGTTTCTACGAGAAGAAAATTTGGTTTCAGAGTTGATTTTAAATAAGCTTATTTCTTAGATTTGAGAGATTATTTGAGAACTATCTGCTGCTGACAAAAAAAAACTTTCATGAAGCAGTGGAGTATTGTATGCGCGTGTGTGTGTGTATATATATATGAGAGCTAAAACACATTATTTCATTTTTCTGTGCACCACAGTTAAATGTGAAATAAACCAATTTGAGAAACAAACGTGTGTTTGTGTGGGATTATTGCTTTGAAGACTATCCATGGTCCCAGCAGCGTGGGATATCTGCACACAAACACTCAGCACAACAAGAGCCACAGCACACTTCTTTTTAAAAATGGTTTACTTTCCATGCACTTGAGTCTTTTTGTGCGCATCAGCCCAACCCACCAGAACATGCAGCATCAACCCCAGGCCAGTCAGACGATTTTCAGCCTGAGGCTTCATTTAGTTTCACAGTAGGTCAGAGGCAATCACAGACACACAAAAGAGCTCAAATGAGGCAAAGATCATTACCACAGATGACAACACAATGGACAGTGGCGTAAAAAAAAAAAGTGCAAATTCAGACTGGAGCGTCTACAAAGGCCTGCTGATGGGCTCATCTGTAATCTGCTTGGCTCTAAAATTACAAACATTTCTGTCACCTGTGATAATCAGCTGGTTGTGGAGCAGCTAAGGGAGCTAGAGGGGTACTGTTACTGCTGATGTCTACTCTTACAGGTCAGTGTGTTTGACTTCTGTGCTGGGCTCTGAGGAGCCACCCTCTGTGGCTATAGATGAAGCAGAAGGCTGGTAGGCAGGCTCATTTTTGAACGGGCTGTCTTTGGCAGGAGAGAAGCGGAACTCCTCCGGCACCTCGGCCTCGGCCTGAGCCTTCTTGTAGAAACCCAGTTTCCCCAACAGCTCGTTTATCTCAGAGCGGGTCATGTCAGACAGGGCGACGCGCTGCGGAGAAAACTCACTTGTTATAAAAGGACCATTAAACTGTGAGCTAAACAAAAGACACTGATCTGTGATAAACTAATAGTGCAGTAAAGCTGAGCTGAACATTGATGGGTTTAAAGAAACCTGAAAAAACATTAAACCTGCACAAATGAATTATGTGTCGTGTGAAAAGATCACTCGTGATGATCAAACTACAAAGCTCTGAAACATTTTACATTTCTTTTGGATCCTTGTTACAGTTTTCTGGCCAATGTGCTGCTCTTTTTAATGTCATAACAGACATTTGTATTTATACAACCCATTTAAAAGCATGGGAACTGGCCCAAAGAGCTTTCTAGTGGAGGCTGATTCACAATGCAAACATACAAGACGTCACAGGAAGGAACAACAGGTGCAAAAAATAATGCGATAAAGGCTGTTAACCACAACCACGGCAACAAATACAGGAGTTAAGAAAAAATAAGGCTATATAAAAGATATGGCTGAAGTTAAAAACAAAATAACACCTGAGAACGGGGAAAGTAAAAAGGAGAAAAATCTGATTAAATCATAAGAGTACTTTAAAATTTAAAAGAAGCCTCAGATCAAACAAAGTGATCTGCGAGTCATTTCATGGAAATGCTCCCGGCATTTACAAAAATATTACACTTGAAAAACACTTTAGGGTTACAATTTATTTCCACGTTCAAATAAAACGTTATCCGAACTATTACATCTTCTCGAATATTCAGTTCAACAATTTTTTTTGTTTGTTAAGTGATAAATAAGTTCGACCACCACAAAAATGCTCATCCCCACAGTCAAATGTAGTGATTCAATGCTGTATTTTGACCACAAAAATATGCTTTTTACCATTTAAAATGCCATAATAGGACTATCACATATATTTTAAACATGACACAACAAAGCTGAACTTGTGTAACTGCATGAGAAAAGTCTATTGTTTTGAATTGCTTGTGGTAAGTGGTTTATCTGAATTCCTCTCTTATTTAATAATTTGAAGCTTTTAGTTAAAGTCACTGGTGTTTCTCACTTTACTTTTAGGGAAGTGCAACATAAATAAATTGATTAAATGACAGAACTGAATGAATATGAGGTGACTGACAGCATGTGGTTCAGTAGCAGCTATTTTTAAAAAGCATTGATGTAACCTTCATGAGTAAAAGCTCTTGGCAACACTAGTGACTCCCAATTACACAAAAACATTACAAGTTGTTCAAAGGTTTTGTTTCTGGAGTAAAATTTTAGTATTTTATGCAAATTCTAACTGTTCTGTATCATTATCAATCTTTTTATCAAGTACGTCTAATTTGGGTGTCTTATATCTCAGCAGATGGTTCACTGCGTCACTGTTTTTTTGTCACATAAAATAAAACGTGTCATATTTGACCAAATAATTTCACAGCCATTGAATTTTGTTACACTTAAGGCTTAACATATGAAGGGTTACTTACTTTTAACTGTATGAAATTAATAAGACAATCTGCTGATTTGTTGCACGATTATTATAACCGACTATGTGGCTGAAGAGCCTGAGGAAATAATATTCATTAAAACGGCTGGAGGCTTGCAGAAGGAGTAAGGAAACACCGTTGAGAAAAAAAATAAAATAAAAATCACGGCACAACCAGGCTTTGAGGAAATATGGGGGAAAAAGGCTGTCATTTTTGTAACTAGATAGTCAGTTAAGTAATAATTTAGTTCAAGTTTAAATGTTAGAAGTAAATTCTTGTCATATCAAAGTGGGATATATCTGTAGAATGAGCTGTGCTCTGCAGATTTCTTGTTTCCTTCTGAAGTTATTTTAATCCAAAAGACGGGAAAAGCTCGGAGCCTGCTCAGCGGTCACAGGACACCTGTTTGTCATCATTTCAGCTGTAATCTCTTCGAGTAATGATGTCAAGTGTTGGTGGTTTGTGGTGAGATGCTTTACTTCAGTTGTTAAACTGATTCTGACATTCAGCACAAACGAGTGTCATATTTGCTGCGAGTAAACAACAAATACAATTTACAAAAGTAAAATAAAAGAAAGGCACAACACACACTTACGTCCAGCTCTTCATAATAATGGTTCAGGAGGACAAGCTCAGGGTCTGCGCCAGGAATGTGCTTCATCACCAGGTTATGGCTGAGGTGGTGCTCAGGGATTAAACAGCGTGCAGTTTATGAGCAGATATTTCTAAAGAGTAACAGTGCACTTCAGTGAAAGGATACTAAAGAGGAATATCCTGGATCACAAAGGCTTTGACCTGCAGACAGAGGTTTGGATTAGTGTTTTCCACTCAGTTTGGGTTTCAGTGGCAAATCTGTCAGGGATTATGTGAAACTCTAAACTAAAATGTTCCTCAGAGAGAAAAAACTTCTTGGCAGGAGTAAGGCTGGCTCTCAGTGTTTTGTCACTTTTGTTCACATAACAGGGAAACTTGCCTCTCTGAGCCTGTTCAGCTGTCATCCACCACACGTCTGAGGAAAGACAACAACACAAGAAACAAGAAAAAGTTACATGCAGACCTCGTGTTTCAGAAATGGGGCTTTACAAGAACTGGAAACATGATTACTGAACACATGTCATCTGCAACTGTAATGCATCTTTATACATTTTTGGTGGTTATGATCCCTAATCAGAAAAAAAATATTTATGTACTGGTATCACTGCAAGCTTTTACTTTGAAGAACGCTTAGTACGGCCCCAGGGAAGGCTACCCGACCTATTTTTGCTGATATCTGAGCCTCAGGTATAAGGCGTGACTAACACTACAATAACAACAGATCATGATTTGCTTCAGTGATGCTGGCAAGTAGGTGACTGGGTGACACCCTGGGGGAAACTGCACAGATCTCAAAAGAAAAAGGTGTAGAGTTTCAGTCTTTGTGCAGGACCGCATGTTACATACCCTGTGCCCCCCTTTTAAGCTTCCACCAAGTCACTTTGTGATGACGATTTTAGGGTTACTAAAATAGTAACAATGCGAATTAGAGACCGTGTTCTTCATTAGATCGCATGCCATTCAGGCACGGAGGCATCCATTCAGCTTAGTACACATCTGTCCTGCTCACGCATGCGCCCAATCCAAAAATGTTTAAAAGCAGTGCACCCATTCACACGTTTAAACGAATCTGATAATTGGCCCTGACACGATTATTCCCGTGTTCTTCTTTATGGGGAGAATTATGAAAAAATAAAGCCTTATGTTACCTCCACCCTCGCTCTTGCCAGCCCCTCCAGCTTCTTCAGATCCACATCATAAGCCGAGGCGCAGTGAAGTAAACTGGCCAACACGATCAGCCACATTTCTCCTGCTTCAGATCGAGGAGCCGCACTCGCTCTTCAC